TGTATGGTGCGATGATGACTCCCGACAAATGTATCGATTTAGGATACCACAAGAGAAAAACTCAATCTCCTTACAAATATTTGGATTTTGAAATTATAGTCTCCTCTGTCGGGAATCTACAAAATTGTCCCCTTCTAATTATTTTAAAATTGCACTCATTCATCTACCAGCAGGTGGAATTTCATTATTTGTTTTTTCTTTTCTTTTTCTTTTTTTTTTCCCTCCATTTAATTCTTGTGTTCCTTTTACTGTTGTTTATTCAATTGAAACTTTGAACAAAATAAACAAGTATAGTGTTCTCTCTTAAATCTTAATAATAAAACAAAAAGTTATAATTGTCATAATTAGGTCTTAATAATCTCATCATTTTGAATTGCGCAGTTTCTCACGAATCTTGATTTCTATCTCGTCCCATGCCATCATATAATTTTTTTTTCAAACAAAAAAACCGAATATTATGTACCCAATAGCCCTATATTATGAAAAATATAAGTACTATCTACAACAAAATTCTACACCATCCAAGACATAAGATTAGTAATCTTTTATTCAGGAAAATAAGTTCCCCACCAGTCGTCAAATCGAAATTTCCAATATGCCTAAAAGACCGCGTTACTTTTGTTTTCTTATGTGAAGAAAGAAACTGATAATTAATCATAGCCAATGCACAATAGCGAACCGTGTTTCCACACTGCAAAAGCCCCACCCCAAAAACACAAATTCTAGAGTGAGTTAGTCGACATGTCAATACATTTTAAAATAAAAGTGTGTATTTTATATTATAAAATGCCAACTTTTTTTTATTTTTTATTTTTTAAAGTAAGACATTCTAGTCTAGAGTGAGTGACTTAACAGTTGTGCGAGCCGATTTCAACAAAAGTATATATTCATATTGTAAAATATCATATTTTTATTTAAGTTATTTCCCGAGTAAGACATTCATATATGAAAGTATACATGCTCATTAAAAGCAAACAAACGTTGGACTGCCCATTAGGCCTATTTCACAGCAATTCTACTGCCAAAAAATAATAATAAAAAATAAAGACGACCGTTAACTTGGAGGGACTGAAAAAACAGAGCATCAAATCAGATAGCAAACTATAGGGCCTGGCTTTATATAGAGCTGTATATATTTGGACAAATCTCCACTCTCTTGCACATAAAACTTTTCTTACACTATGTGGGCTTCAAATTATCAGATTATGGGACCCCTACACAGCCTGTGTCGATCTCCTATTGGCTGATTGCCTCTTATGTTCTGACTTTGATATCCCTGAAAATCCTGTGAAAAGAAATTCCCCACTGTACACTACTCGTTCCCAGGTGAGGAATCTGTCTTAAATTTTAATGATTGTGCACCAAACACTTTGACGCTGTATACGTATCTAATCTTAGATCTCCCTTTTTTATCTTTCTCTTGTATTCACCGTATTAGGTATCATTGCTTTTCACTGCAAATGAGGTCTTCAATTTCCTTACACGACAAAAATGGAAGGGCCCCATTTATGAGAGAATCAAATGCTCGTAACATAAACCATATTAATGTACTTTCATCTCGGCCAAGGGAGGATACCGAGGGTTCGATTCTACTGGTAATTACACTGCAGTAATCGAATTTTTTACTGTTGAATCAACACATACACACATAGATTCATTTGAGTGTGTGTAGATCCAACGGCAAAAAATATAGTGACTACAGGAGGTTGAAATGTTCCAGGAAGATACATCAAATTTTGTACCTATCGGTGTTGACATTTTTACCATTCGATCATACACTCACCTATGTATGTGTGTGTCTTTGCGTGTGTGTATAATCCAACAACAAAAAACAACGTGTGAATATTGTTCACACCTATAGAAGCGAATTTTCGAGGAGTATACATGCATGGCAAGTTCGATAATATACCCAATGGGTGGATCAAATATTCCCACATGCATTTAGTTGTGACTCAACTAGAAATTTTCGTTCGTAATTCACAAACTCTTTTGTTACATGTATAGTAAGAGATAACTCAGTTTTCAGACATACATTGATTGGGAATTTGGAAAGGAGAAATCCAAATGTCGTTTGAAGCCCACGCAGACTCAGCCTGGACTTTCTATTGTCGAAGTCTACACGAATATAATTTAGCTAGCACTAAAATTCTTACCTTCCAAGATAAAGGGCATTGGAGCGAACAACCTTGCATAATCATGGGGCAAGGGGTCAAGTTTTTTCACAATTTTGCTCTAGCCACATGCTTGATAATGATTATTAGCGGTGTCAAAATTAAGGACACATGTTACATCTTGATAGAATGGACAGAATATGCTACATTCTATTCTTCTTTTGTTCTTTTAGTTTTTATGTTTTTTCAGACATCTTTGCAGCTCAACTTATTTATGTTTTGGGTCAATGTCAACATGTTAGAAACAGACATATATGATATATATAGCACACGCGTCCTTATATGAATCCCAATGGGCCTCCTAAATGAGGATCAGATTGCAAGGCTCTGGACTAAAGATATAGGATGCCATGGGCTGGCACATTGGGCTTGTGAGATTGAACAGATTAAAATACAGATAACTAGCAGTGGCAGTAACTTAGTAGCCTGGACTCTGGAAGAGTGTGCATCAAAATCATTTAAGCAGTCTTTCGCAGGAAAACCTAAGATCCTCGCGCAAGGATATTTTCCCAACACCAAAAACTGACCAGTTAAAAAACAGAAAAATAATAAACAAATACATAAAAGGTGAGTAATGCCATTAAACTTATACGATCAATACCGCTTTCAATTAAACCAGAGATCGGCTGATCTAACTGGAGTTGTTCTTTCTTGCAGCGTATGCCCGGTAAACTGCCAGCCCAACGAATGTAGCAGCAGCCCCCACTGTAAATTTGAACATGCCAAGTTAAACAAAAATAAATAAAAAATAAAACTCCAGAGACCTAATTAAACTTAACTATTAAGTAAATAATCAATATCTGAACAACCCATCAACAGGTGTTTCTTGTACATGTGTGCAGAACCTTGAAAGAGTACTAATTTTACAATATTCAGTTTTTACCATATCATGAAATTATTCAGGGTTGTACCTGAGAGACACATGATGGTATGTGTGACAAGCTGGCGGTACCGCTTCTGGCTGCGGCCAACATCTGTCTCGGGTATGCTCAAGTGAGGGTGCTCGGCAGCATTTACAATTCTGGAGAACACGCCATTCAAATCTTTATCCTTCACGCTCACGGGAATAGGTGCATCAATGCCCATATTCAGACAAATCTAGAACACGGATAAGTA